CAAACAACCGACCAACCAACCAAACAAACGTGCAGGGAGCCCATACACTAATAGTGTTCAACTCCCAGCTTCCTGGATTGCCCTGAACTTGGGATTATTACAGAACAGTAATGGAAAATGGCCCCGAAAATGGCCTTATCATCTCCTGGCTGCATGGACAAGGCCGCCCCGGCACAGCCCTGGCCACGCCGGATTTGCGGGTTTGGGTTTGGGGTGTGCTGCTGCCTTGGCGGCATACCCATCCTCCACCGTTCAGCCCTCATTCAAGCCAGCTGACCCTACGAGTCCGAGCATAGCTCTAATTCTAAGTTCGACTCGCTAAGCAGGTAAGCCTGGGCCAGCAGGAAGAAGATGTGCTGGGGTGTAACACCTCAGACGAAAGCCCAGAAAGAGGGGCCGCAGTAAAATCAAGGCTGGATGGAGTTTCATGCTTACAACAGTTGGCTTCCTGAAAAATCTACTATAGTGTTTGCTTGCTTTAAACTTCAATGGGCTTCAGAATGCTGTGTCAGTGTCTACCCGGGAGGACAATAATTCTTTGAGTTTTTTTTCCACAACGTAGCACGAGAAAAGACACCATGCTGGAAGGAAGCGCGGGTGTGCGTGCGTGGTGCTACGAAGCTCGCTTCGCGCCACCATCCTCAACTCGACACACCAAGCTTTGAGAGCATCTGTGTACAGGCTGTGTAGCTCTGGAGCTTATAGGTAGTTGATACAAATGGATGCTACTAAGTCAAACTAGAACATAAAACCCCAACCATCTGAGGGCCGCAAGCTCTAAGACCATCCATAAACCCTTTACATCCTGAACACACCGGCAGGCTTCGGGCACACGAAGAGCGCTTCGTGCTTGTGGGTTTAGGGCAAAGGAGGTTTAGGGCTTTATGATGTCTTAAGCTATAACTGTACCCAGAATTACTTATCACCCCACTTAGGGTACCTATAATCTTACCTACGAAGTCTTATGATCCTCCAAGTACCGTGGGTTTTGCAGTGTAGGGAGGTGTCAGGGCGTGGACTTCGGGGAAGCTCCTCGGTGCAGGGCATGGGCTCTTGCCCGCTCTGAGCGGCCAACTCTACAAAGCTGCTTTCAAGGCTTGACAAAAAGGAAGAAACCGAAAAACGCTCAAACTCATATTATGGGTCTACGATCGTTCCCCAAGAATTTCTATCAAGGTTCCATACGATTTTGCTTTGATGAGCACTCATTGCAACAGCCCCCCAACCCAAACCCGCAACCTGCACACGTTCAGTTTTATGGTGGGTAAAATTAAAGTGTAAGGTGTATCCCTTCAGCTACTAAGTCCCTTTTGCTGCACATGGTTACTTAGTTGCAGAATTTCCTAGCATAGAAAAAGGTGAGCGGTCTCAGCATCTTTACTATGCACAGGAGGTTTGGCACCAACCACTTGTTCGACGACTAACTCACCTTCAACTCTGAAAACCCTATTATAAACCCATGTTCAGGAACCCACGCCCCAAACCCCAACCCTAAGTTCCCCTCCTCTCCCCGCCCCGCGGTCCCACCCGTTTTGGCCAGATGGCCGAACTGGTGGAAGAATGGCTCGGTCGGCATCTCCTGCCACGAGCTAGCGGTCATGATCCAGAAGTTCCGAAACCACATCTTCAATCATATGATGGATTCCTCCATACCTATAAGGAATAATGCTGAATCACGAGCTTCGAAACTTTGGAGTCTCGGGAACACTACCGAATCCACGGTGCAACGTTGGGGTCCTCCAGCTGTCGGTCTTCGGGGAATCGGGGCTCCAAGAAGGAGGCTCTCAATGCACGCCCCGTGAACAATCCTGATAGAACCCCTGTAGAACCCCCTCATGCAACCCTAATGTTAGAACCCTTGTAGGCTCCACTTAAGGCCTTTGTCTGCCCTCGTGGTATCAACCTCCAGTCTTTTGTAGCAAAACACAAGTACACACAGATGTGTATGTATATGCATATATACATATATGATTATATGTGAATATATATATATATATATATATAAGTATGTGATTTTAAAATGTATTCATATAATATGGATCCTCATGAACTTCGAAACTGGGCTTTCAGAGATCCTGGGTTCTCGCTGAAAACCCAGTGCCGACAAACTTTGTACATACTAACGTCTATGGCTCCCAAAAACAATACTAACGAGGGCATTACGGGGCGGAATCCAACTGAAGGGAGCGCAAATCAAGGCAGACTCCATTTCTAGAGAAGCTCACGTCCCTTATGTCGGTAAAACCCAGTACCCCTGAGGAGCCATGCTGTATGCACTCAGCAGAAGCCGTTATATCAGCCCTACTTTATGTAAGCCTTCAGCCCATTCCTTATCGAAGGGTGTCAAGCGACCACGACAGGATTTTAATTCCAGATTCTAGGGCTGATCTGTATCACTCTCCACAGGCCTCAAACAGAACAAGTCCACGCAAGCTCAGAAGGGCGAGACCCGGACCCGTTGTGTGGCGAGTCCAAGCAAGTAGAAAAATTCATCTAAAATGAATAAATTTGCATGCCAGCCGGTCTTGTAGCCTGGAAGCTGTTAGAAGCATTTCCATCGTCCGTCCTGTATCGTGCCGGTGAACAAATCCAGCGCTACCTCGCAGAAATGGCTGCAGTACCTGCAAGGAACGCTTCAGCCCAAAATCGAAAGTTCATGGACCGCTCCCTGCACCCTCAAACCAGACTCCTCAACACATCGACCCGTTCGTTGTGCAGCTACTTTCTTCAGGCGAACCAACGGAAGCACCGGGAGTTCGCAGCTTTGGGCTTATGGGGCTTCGGGTGTGAAACCCCGCCTATACCCGAAACCCTCACGGGCCTCAACAAAACAAGAAGCTATACTCCACTGCTAAGCCCCTTCTGACACCAAAACCCAAGGCCCCCAACCCTAAATCACCCGCAGGGAATGCACTCTGAAGCCCAAACTACATTAAACTCAATCCCCCAAAGTCGCGAAAAGTAGAGTGAACTAGTGCAGCTCTCTAAACCTCAAACCCTGTGTCATTAGAGCAAGCCTGCAGCGCATGAGGCAAACCCCAAACCCCCAAAACTCTCTACACCCTAAACCCCGAACCCTGCCGTAGTTGTGGTGTTGAGCTACCTGGACCTCCCACCACCCACCAATTCCACGGTCAAAGCCCTATCGCAAGATATCGTAAGGGGTGCCAATCAACCCACTGTTGTGTAGGGCTTGGACAACTTGTAATAGCCCTTTCTAGTTCATTATATCAACTTTGACTATCTATGTATATACTATGCGGTATCCCGAGAAACCGTCTTCCAAAGATGAACGACCCTGTAAGGCCCTGTTAAACCCCGTGCAAGCTAACCGACTCACTAGAAACAAAGGAACATACTAAGGCACTGGTCGTCCAGGCAGTCGTTCGGCTGCAAGCGCTGTATGAGCAATGCCGTCTGAGGAAAGGAGCTGAATAACGGCTGTAGGGTTCAGGGTCTAGGCATTCTTCATACAGGGATCTGCAAGCAAGGATCCACAAGGGTTCTTCCTGGCTTCTTTTAAGGGTCGAGTTACGCCTTCAATCTCCAGATGCATAGGTTTATTTTCAAACCGTACTAGAAGGCCCTTTCATGGAGCTGCCGTGGGGTTCTCTGTGTTTTGAGTCGTTGTCAGAGCAACCGCAACGAATGATGAAAAGCAGTCTTTCGAATACGGAAAAACCTCTCTCGATCCTGGCGGTTCAATCTCTTCCAAGCCTAAGAAGACGCCCATGGAAGCCGCCGAAAGCCTAGAGCAATCAACCTCAAACCCTAAACCCCTAAAGCCCTACGACCCTTACCTGCAGAATCTTAGCTTGAGAAGCTCGCATGTGTTCGAGGCGGTGAGGGTTTTACGGTTTAACAGGGTTCAGTTTACCGTCTAGACACAGCTAGGGCTTGCGCCGAGGAAGGCTGCGGAGATGGGTTGCTTTCAATCATAGATGTCTGTCAAACTTACGCCATATGTTCAGTGTTCATCCGGCTTCGGGCATTACACGGTTGGCACTTCAAGCCTTGAATAATTTAAACACTTCTAAGAAGTCTTCGCAAATAGCCACGGCACCGAAGGCTCAATTGCCCAGCATAGGTATGTGGCTGCAGACCAAGCTCAACAGTTGCGGAGAGACGGCCTGCAGAAGGAAGCCCGTGTAACAGAACCTGATTCAAGAAGCAGGGGCTTGTAGGTTTGACAGCTTTGCCACACTGTTTTGCAGGAATTGTCCTGGGCCTTAGGTGCAAGGCTTGCTGTTTATAAGGGCTTGATGAGCTTAGAAGGGTACCGGCTTCGACCTAGAAGTAGTTAGGCCGATGTTACAGCGGCACACAGGACCTTGTTTCAGACATGGGTCCCTTGCGCACTGGCGGCTTCGGGACGTGAAGCTTCAGGGTTCCGGATGTCGGCGCTCTCTCTCGCAGCAGGCAAGGATCCCAACATGAGCTCCGGTACGTGACCCTGGGGCAGGCAGTGATATGCCTTTTCGGCAGCACTTCGGGATGTGCGCGGTGCGCTCTGTGTCTGATTGGTACATCTCCATACAAATCGGGTAGGGGCTGTCCGCAATCTTAAGATACGTGGGGTGCTCGTTCGCTCTAGGTTATACAGGGAAGGCCTTTTGCGGACATGCCCCTCTAGGGTCAAACATTTTTTAGAGAGCAGGGGGATCTGCAACCGCCACCATAGTGAGAGGCAAGTTGCAGACTCTGCGATCTTCGAAAGGGCGGACAAAAGTCAGCAGTGGAGTCCAGAACGGTCGGGACCCGTACTTCAAGAATTCTAAGAAGAGCTAGATTTTGAAATAAAGTAAAGGTTGTACACTCCTGTATAGACTAGAAGCAAACCTGGGTCCTCTCCGTCATGAGAACAAGCACAAGAAGGGGTCAAAAGAGTGCACCTCTGCTGTCCGTGCCTAGTCCGGGCTTTCAGCCCGCCCCTTGGGCCCAGAGCTGCAAAATTCAAAGGCCCCCTGTGGCCCAAATTGTAAGGCTGCCACTCCACCCGTTCACTTGTTGGCTGCAGCGATGGCCTTGCACTTCTTCAGGCAGTCGCCGGCATCCAGATCCTGCAGCATGTCACCCGAAATTCTGCAACTCCCTAAACTCTACAGCCCTGCCCTGAACCCCCGCGAGGACCTTAAGGAACCCTAAACCCTAAACCCTAAACCCTAAACCCTAAAACCCTAAACCTTGGTATCCTCCAGCATGTCAAAGACGGACTTCTTGCCTCCCTCGAACTCCAAAGCCGGGTCCTGGAGACGCACTTCAAGAGAAGGCTTTCGGGCTTTTTTAGTCGTTAAAGGGTATAGGGTTTAGGGTTTAGGGTTTAGGGTTTAGGGGTATAATGTATCATGTAGGGGCCTTTTTTAAAGCTGGAATAGGGTTTTGGGCTCCTTTTATGGTAAAATTGTACTGAGGAGCCCCCAAAAGAGTGTTGGGAACTATTCAGGCTCCTATAGTAGAATAGTTTAGGGGTTTACAGTTCAGGAGCTTAGGGGCTCTTGGGGTTTTTTCGGGGTCCTCGAACCATTTCTTCGCCATCCCAGGGGTGAGGCCGCTGGCCAGCAGCGCCTCGCCGGAAAGGGAAACCCCTTCGCCCTACACGTTTAGGGTTTAGGGTTTAGGGTACACCCTACAGTAAACCCGAAACCTTCCACCCTTTTTTGAACCCAGGCTCTGATCATCCCCTTAACCCTAAACCCTCCACCCTAAGCCCCAAACCCTAAGCACAAAAAGCAGAAGCGGACTAAACAAGCTAAGTATGTACACAAGTAAAATCAAGTCTATACCGTGTATGTATGTGTACTTATATATATATATGTATATATACATATGTCTGTGTGCATGTGTAGATCTATAGAATATTCGTGTATTCGTCCTGTCTGTTTAACTGCCGTTTATATGTTTTTACCCATGCATACATGCATGCATGCATACATACATACCAACATAAAAAAGACATATGTGTATGACAAGTATAGCTGGACAGATAGATAGGTAGACACATCGACAGATAGATGAACCCGTCTAAACCCTGCAAACCTTTACCTCAAGTCTCCGTTGTAGCTCCCCTGTTTGGCTTAACCAAAAAGACATGATTCTGACCCTTAACCAATGCAGGAACTACAATGGAGACTGCTAAGTCAGCAAACCTTGGTACAACCCTATAAACTTATAACTGAACTCGGAACCCAGACCCTAGACTTCAAATCCCTCACCCCTAAACACTACATCCCTAACCCCGAAAACCCCAAACCCTAAACCCCAAATCTCTAAACCCTACATCCCTCAATCCCTAAACCTGGGTTGGAGCCTTGCCGAAGGGATCCTTGGTCATGGAGGCCCGGAGCCAGTTGCAGCGCTCTGCCAGTGCCTCGGGGGGGGGTCTCCCTACGGAACCCCCCTACTTATAGTCTTGCTGAGTTCATGAGGTAGTCATAACTAAATCTCAGCCCTTGTATATCCTGAAACCTGTAAACCCCAGAAAAGGCCCTAACTGCACCCCTACAATCCGGTTGATGGACAAAATGCTGCATGACCCTATATACCTAAACTATGGGATTTATATGGTACTATACTATATTTGGGTCATGCAGGATTTTGTCCCTGTAATCCCGAAGCGCCTCGAAAGGGGAAGCGGAGGCGTGGACGCCGTTGTCGCCGGTATCCGGCTGCGCCTTTAGTCCGAGGTCACTCCAGTCCTCGTGGTTTAGGGTTTCGGGTTTAGG